CACTGTGATTTGTACCAATTCGACAGCCCCTAACAAAATAACAAAAGAAGTTTATATCAAGGAAATGGCTCACATAGTTGTAGAGGTGGGAGAGTCCCTAGTCTGTGGGTCAAATAAACCAAGATCAGCAGATCGGAAGGAAGCCGGGCTGGTAAGATGGCGGGCTACTGATGATAACTAGGATCAGTAGGCAATGGGGTAGGCCACTGGCTCAAGTCCAAGGAATGGATGTTGGATGACCAGCCAGATGCAGGATCCAGACCAAACAGAAAGCCAAGCAAATGTCCTGTATGTTGGAAGCAGGCCACAACCTCAAGAAAACTTCCTTTTAGTTAATTGGCTGCTCACAGCAGAGCTCCTCACGGAGGTGTGGATCTTATCATGAGGGATTCCTACACATTAACTGTGCCAAACCACTGAGAATCTTGGTCCAGACACATTGACAAAACCATCACAGACTCTCCTGTGGACATTCTCCACAGAAAGAGGAATAAATCCCTTCCTGTTGCCATTGAGTCTATTCTGACTCGTTGATGAGAGGTACACAAGAAGGCTGTACCTGGATCAGTTCCTGCTCATGGGGAACTAGTGTTCATTGGGCTGGGTGCGTGTATGTGTGATAGTCTGCAGATTTGTGTTGGGGCAGGAAAAACAATAAAAGAAAAAAGGCCAAGAGTTTTCCCTTCATATATGCATTTAACAAGAAAGGAAATATTCAGGAAGCCATCTTTGCACAAGGAGATCCCATGATGAGAGCTTATGTAGAGCAGTGACAAACACTCCCTCTGTTCTAGATGCCCCTCAGCCCTTCCTTGTGGCTAGGAGAAGCTGGGGTACAGGTGGCTCCCCACAGAAAGATAAATGCAAAACATTAGGGCTCTCCTCATGCTGTTTGAATTTGATGTTTAAAGTCCTGTTCTGAGAGGGAGAGAGAAGACTCAGGTGACAGAAGCTGGTGTTGTTGTTATGAGGTGCCAATGAGTCGGTACCAACTCATAGCGACCGTATGCACAGCAGAACGAAACACTGCCCAATCCTGGGCCAACCTCACTATCGTTGCCATGCTTGAATCCATTGATCGGTCACTCTGTCAATCCATCTCGCAAGGGGTCTTCCTCTTTTTCTCTTACCCTCCACCATACCAAACATGATATCCTTCTCCAGAAAATGGTCCTCCCTGACAATATGTCTGAAGTATGAGAGACGAAGCCTGGCCATCCTGGCCTCCAAAGAACACTCTGGCTGTACTTCTTCCAACACAGATCTGTTGGTTCTTTTGGCAGCCGATGGCACTTTCAATATTTTCCTCCTGCACCGCTACTCAAAAGCAGTAATTCTTCTATGGTCTTCATTATTTACTACCCAGCTTTTGCATGCATATGAGGTTATTGATAATCCCATGGATTGGGTCAGGTGCACCTTAGTCTTCAAGCTGACATCTTTGCTCTTCAACACTTTAAAAAGGTCTTGTGCAGCAGATTTGCCTAATGTGATATGTAGTTTGATCTCTTGACTGCTGCTTCCATGAGTGTTGATAGTTGATCCAAGAAGAATGAAGTCCTTGACAACTTCATTCTTTTCTCCGTTGATAAGAATGTTGTTGATTGGTCCAGTGGTGAGGATTTTTGTTTTCTGTACATTGAGATGTAATCCATACCGAAGACTGTGGTCTTTGATCTTCATCAGTAAAGAGGACTTAAAAGTCCTCTTCACTTTCAGCAAGCAATCTGCATATCACAGGCTGTTAATGAGTCTTCCTCCAATCCTGATGCCACATTTTTCTTCATAGAACCCAGCTTCTAGATTATTTGCTCAGCATACAGGTTGAATAAGTATGGTGAAAGAATACAACCTTGGCACACACCTTTCTTAATTTTAAAACATTCAGTGTTCCCATGTTCTGTTGGAACAACTGCCTCTTGGTCCAGATACAGATTCCTCATGAGCACAATTAAGTGTTCCGGAATACTCATACTTCGCAGTGTTGTCCATAGCTTGTCATGATCCACACAATCGAAAGCCTTTGTGTAGTGAATAAAGCACAGGTAAACATCTTTCTGGTATTCTCTGCTTTCAGCCAAGATCCATTGGCCATCAACAATGATATCCCTGGTTCCACATCCTCTTCTGAATCTGGCTTGAACTTTTGGGAGTTCTCTGAAAATGTATGCTTGCAGCCATTTTTGTATTACCTTTAGTAAAACTTTACTCACATGGGATATCAAAGATATTGTCTAATGATTTCTGCATTCCGTTGGGTCACCATTCTTTGGAATGGGCACAAATACGAATCTCTTCCAATCAGTCGGCCAGAAAGTTGTCTTCCAAATTTCTTGGCAGAGATGAGTGAGTGCCTCCTGTGCTGCCTCATTTTCTTGAAAGATTTTCAATTTGTATTCCATCGATTCCTGGAGCCTTGTTCTTTGCCAATTCCTTCAATGTACCTTGGACTTCTTCCTTCAGTATCATTGGCTCTTGATCATATGCTACCTCTTGAAGTGGTTAAACATCAACCATTTCCTTTTGGTAAAGTGACTCTGTGTATTCCTTCCATCTTCTTTTGATGCTTTCTGCATCATTCAGTAATTTTCCCAGAGAATCCAATAATTAAAATCAAGCCTTGAATTTTTTGTCCAATTTCCCCCAACTTGAGAAATGCTTACCGTGTTCTTCCCTTTTGGTTTTCTGACTCTAGATCTTTGCACATTTTGTTGTAATGTTTGAGTTTGTCTTCTCAAGCTGACCTTTGAAATTGTCTGTTAAACTCTTGTACCTCCTCATTGCTTCCATTTGCTTTCGCATATCTGCACTGGAGAGCAAGTTTCAGTGTCTCTTCTGACATCCATTTTGATCTTTTCCTTCTTTAATGACTTTTTGCTTTCTTCTTGTATGATGTCCTTGATGTCATCCCACAACTCTTCTGGTCTTTGGTCTTTAGTGTTTAATGTATCAAATCTGTTCTTCAAATGATCTCTAAATTCAGGTGGAATATATTCAAGGTCATGTTTTGGCTCTCGTGGACTTGTTTTCATTTTCTTCAGCTTCAGTTTGAATTTGCAGTGGAGTAATTGATGGTCTGTTCCACAATCTGCCCCTGACCTTGTTTTGAAGGATGATATGGAGCTTTTCTATCGTCTCTTTCTGTGTATTCCATTTGGTGAGTGAGGTCCATGTGTATAACCGTCTCTTATGCTGTCTAAAGAAGATATTTGAAATGAACAAATCATTGATTTTGCAGAATTCTATCATGCGATCTCCAGCATCATTTCTATTACCAAGGCCATATTTTCCAACTACTAATCCTTCCTCTTTGTTCCCAACCTTTGCATTCCAATCACCAGTAATGATCAATACATCTTGATTGCATGTTTGAACAATTTCAGATTGAAGAAGTTGGTAGAATTCTTCTATTTTATCCTCACTGACTTTAATGGTTGGTGTGTGAATTTGAATTATAGTGGTATTAACGGTTTTCCCCTGTAGGCACCGGGATATTATCCTATCACAGACAGCGTTATACCTCATGACTGATCTGGATATGTCCTTTTGACAATGAATACAACACCATTTCTCTTCAATTTGTCATTACCAGCATAGTAAATTATGTGGTCATCAGATTCAAAATGGCCAATACAGTCCATTTCAGCTCACTAATACCTAAGATACTAATACCTAAGATGTTTATGTGTTCCATTTCATTTTTGACAATTTTCAATTTTCCTAGATTCATACTTTATGCAGTCCAAGTTCTGGTTATTAATGGATGTTTACAGCTGTTTCTCTGCATTTTGATTTGTGCCCATCAGCAAATGAAGGTCCTGAGGACTTTACTCCCACAAGCTTTACTCCATTCGCATCATCATGGTCAACTCTACTTTGAGGAGGCAGCTCTTCCCCAGTCGCATTTTGAGTACCTTCCAACCTGAGAGGCTCATTTTCTGGCACTATATCTGACAGTGTTTCTCTGCTATTCATAAGGTTTTCAGTGACTAAATATTCAGAAGTAGTTTGTTACTCCTTCTTCCTAGTCTGTCTTTGTCTGGAAGCTCATCTGAAACCTGTCCACCATTGGTGACCCTGCTGGTATTTAAGAAGGTGAGGGAAAACCAAAACCTACTTTGCACTGTAGGATAATACACTGAACAGCAATGTCGGTTTGGAGTGCAAGGTCAGCAGTTCAAACCTACCAGCTACTCCTGAGAAACCCTTGACAGGGTTGCTATGAGTTGGAACTGACTTAACAGCACTTAACACCACTGGAAATTTTGAGAGTCCCCAGTTAGTGCAAATTTCTCACCAAATTCCAGTTGAATTCTCTTGCTCTCTTTTCTGTAGTGAGTGTTTGTTTGCAGGAATAGAAATCTCCACATAGCTGAAATCGACTCTTGGCATCCCCATGTGTATCAGAGGACTGTGTTCCATGGGGATTTCAGTGGTTGTGACCATTTAGAAATAAATTGCCAGATGTTTCTTCGGAGGCACTTCTGGGCTAGCAGATGTTGCATTAACCGTTTGCATCTCTTGGGGATTCCTGCTGAAACAGTCCCAGGTGGTTCCTGGCTCATGGGTAGGGTAGACTTCAGTGTCTTGGTGATGTGTTCGTATTTCGTGTGCTCTGCCCACCATGGACTCAGATTCAGCCTAAATTCTTCATCTCCTCGTACTTTTCCTCTGACCACTCTGAGGTTGGGTGTGCTACTGTTGAAAGAGCTGCTTTTCCCGAAGCCCTTCTGGTGTCAGGTGGATCCCACGCCCTCCCTAGTCAGTACCTGGGCTAGGGTGATGCAGATTCCCAGGCTGGACTTCCTCAGGAACCCTGTGATGGGATTGTTTTTTTTTCCTGAGCCTGAGCTCTTTTGTACGCCATTGCCTTTTCCTCCTGTCTCCTTCTCTCTCCCCATCTCCCCAAACCTCTCCCTCCCCACTCATTTGATGATCAACAGAAATACTTTAGTGTAATTTCCTTTCTCACTCAAGAAATGCCTTCATCCCCTCTCCAGGAAGAAGAAATGCCAGATGTAGAAATTGACATCGATGATCTGCTTGACGCAGACAGTGAAGAGGAGAGAGCTTTAAAATTACAGGTAAGAAAGCAGCCCTTCTACTCTCCACCCTTCTAATGAGGAATACTCTCCCGCACTGGGGTCTCTAGACTTAGCCTGAGTGGACTCTGCCCTGACCTCGTGCACGGGGGTCAGCGGAAGGACTGTATAGTGAGTATGCATTCATGGAGGTCTGTGTTGGTTTAGTTGTCTTGACTTCCATCAGTTCTCAAAACACCCTTATGAACACTGTTTCTCCTGCCTCTTAGTGGGAGAGAGAGCTGGTTCTGCCCCCAAAGACCCGTTTGCAAGTCTGGCGTTGTATCCTTCATGATACGTGTTCTAGATCAGTTTGCTTAGAGCAGGGGTGGGGAACGTCTGGCCTGCAGGCTGTATATTGTTGTTGTCAGGTGCCATCGAGT